TACGTTGACGCGTTGTATTAAAAAATAAAGTAACGTTAATACATAAAGTATCCTCAGTAATTATATAATGGCTTCAATCGTCAAATATCGAGAATGGCTAGTACAATATACAAATATTACAAATGTTCAATACGCATACTATGTCCGACATAAGCAAATGCTTGCATTAACCATGCTTTTAATAAAAAAGAGGTTAATGAGAAAAAAGGACATCCAAAAGAAACGTTTGTGGATTAGTCCTCTATTTCAGAAACGAAATGAACATGGATTTTATCATGCGTTATTCCCAATTTTGAGACTGGAAGATTTGCGATTCCGAAATTATTTTCGCATGTCAGCTGTGCAGCTCGAGGCTTTATTAGAAATTGTAGGGCCGCATTTGCAGCGACAGTATGTTGTGCGCGAGCCTATAGGTCCAGCGGAACGTCTAAGTTTAACTTTGAGGTATATTTATAAATCTTGTAATATATTGAAAAATACACTACTCAACAAAATTAAAGAATCACTTGTTCCACCCTGCAAAAATAGGCAAACTTTGAGATAGAACAAGTTCGTCAAAAATCATCGTATCGAGATGTTTAAAAAAGCATTTTAAAGCTTGAAATCTCTACTTTTTAGACCAGTATTCCAAAAAATGATCTTACTGATATTTCGTAAAGTCACACAAACAAAAATAAAAATGCGTCAAAACCTGAAAATTTTATACGAAATTTGAGAAGTTCCACGGAGCCAAGTAAAAATCGTGCACAAATGCGGTTTACAGCTTTCGAAAGAGTGAATCTTCAATTTGCTTTTTTGTTGAGCTCTGTGCGATTTTTTTCACCGAGTTATTCAACATTGAAGGTAAAAAGGCCATTTTTACTTAATGGCCATTTTTACCTAATTTTTGACGAAGTTATTTTATGTTGAAGTTTGCCTGCAGTTTTTTAAACAAAATTAAAGTCATTTAAAATGTTAAAAAGGATCAAATTCGAATCTCGCATATCTCCGCGAAGAATGGTCGCGAAGCGAAAAAGCGTTTTAAAACCATAACAAATTTCTTTAAATGTAAGTTAAATTCAACACTTTCTCTTAAAGATGATTATTAATCATCACATTAAAATCTTTTTCACTGAGTGATTTGAAGTATATGTTGCATTTTTTAGTCTTTTCTCTAAAAATTTTTTTAATTTTGCCGCCGGTATTAGCATTACCCGAGGTGTACCACGAGGAGGTTACACGGGTCGGACTTATGGCTCCTGCACACCAAGCGCGATGCGCGACACGCGATACTCGATATCCAATAAGCATACATCTTTACCGATGTTCTCATTCTAAAGCTGTACGCTTATTGGATATCGCGTATCGCGTGTCGCGCATCGCGCTTGGTGTGCAGGAGCCATTACACCTCGTGTGTGTGTGTGTGTGTGTGTGTGTGTGTGAGTAAATGCATTTTTTAAAATTGTGTATTACCGCCTCTCTGTCGAATCACTTCTTGACAGCGTATCCGCATGTTTATAAAGGCCATTTTTACTTAAACGTTAAATAACTCGGTGAAAAAAAATCGTAGAGCTCAAAAAAAAAAACAAATTGAAGGTAAAGATTCGCTCTTTCGAAAGCTGTAAACCGCATTTGTGCACAATTTTTATTTGGCTCCGTGAAACTTGGCAAATTTTGTAAAAAAATTTTAGGTTTGACACACTTTTATTTATGATTGTGCAATTTCACGAAATATCAGTAAGACCGTTTTTTGAAGTACAGGCCTGAAAAGTAGTGATTTCAAGCTTTAAAATGCTTTTTTAAACATCTCGATACAATGATTTTTGACGAAGTTATTCTATCTCAAAGTTTGCCTATTTTTGCAGGGTGGAACAAGTGATCCTTTAATTTTGTTGAGTAGTGTATATAGTTAACATTTTCGAAGATAATGTGAAACAATGATATTTTGTGTTTACATTTTAGATATCTTGTATCAGGAGATTCAATGACCAGTATGAGTTATCAATATTTAGTAGGTTTAACTACTGTAGGTAAAATCATCAGTACAACGTGTAAAGTTATCTGGGATGAACTGTGTCCTCTAGTTCTTCCATTTACTATCGATGAACAGGAATGGAAACGCATCGCTGAGGACTTTAATGATTTGTGGGATTTTCCACACTGTATCGGAGCAATTGATGGCAAACACGTTACAATTCAAGTACTTATTTATCTTCAATGCACTGCTACAATAATTTATTCAAGTATAGCTTATTTATTTTAATCAAACACTGTGTCTTTTATTTCAGTGTCCATACAATGCAGGATCAAACTTTTATAACTATAAAAACAGCCACAGCATTGTTTTACTAGCCATTTGCGATGCACATTACAATTTTCGCTTCGTGGATATTGGTGCGTATGGTAGGCGCAGTGATGGAGGTGTATTTAAAGAGAGCACCTTTGGACAAAAATTTGAAGCAAATACAATGAACGTTCCAAAAGAAAAATGTATTACTGCTGGAGGATCATTGCTGCCATATTGCCTTGTTGGAGATGAAGCGTTTCCGCTGAAGCCTTACTTGCTCCGGCCATACCCACGAGGAGGTAAAAAAGCATTGAATGCAGATCAACATGTTTATAATTATCGATTAAGTCGTGCCAGAAGAATAATCGAAAACGTCTTCGGAATTCTTGCAAGTCAATGGAGGATCTACAGAAAGCCAATTATTGCCAAAGTAGACACAGCCATAAGCATGATTCAAAGCACAATTTGCTTGCATAACTGGCTCCGTAAAGACCGCGAAAACGACTTTTATTTAACATCAGATCTGTTGGATAAAGAAACTGTAGATGGTGTACATAGTCCAGGTTCATGGAGAACAATAATAGAAAATGGATGTGCTTTTACAGACGTATCCAAATGTGGTACAAATAATAGTACTCGAGAAGCCATTAGGATTAGAGAACTTTTCTGCCAATATTTCAATAATGAAGGTGCTGTACTATGGCAGTGGGACCAATAATTAAGTTATATTATTGACTGCGTTCACCAAAAAGCAGCTTTGCAACTGTTGTAAAATTCTTGAATATGATTGGATTATACATTTAGATCCAGTGAGAAACTAAGGGCAAGACCAATCATATAAAAGAATTTTACAACAGTTGCAAAGCTGCTTTTTCTATTGAATGTAACCATTATTAAGAGTAATATAAAACATTAACCTTCATTATAATATTATAAGTAATAACTTTTTTGTTATATATAGAATGTCCTAGAAAGACCGCAAAAAATTATATGCACAGGTAGAGCGGACTGAATTGAGTCGAAAAGCCCTCGCTCTCCGCGGTCCGCGCACCATCGAGTTATCATGGGCGTACACTGTTGGCAGTAGTAAGCCGGGCGGACACACGTATTCGGTAATTTTTACTAATTATTATCTCGTTGACAATTGCAAAAATTGCAAAACGGTAGAGGACTTTTCGACTCAGTTCAGTCCGCTCTATCTGTGCATGTAATTTTTTGCGGTTTTTCTGAGACACCTGTAGAAACGATTATTAGCAATGTTAAATAACATTCTCCCTATATATAAGAAAACATTTGTAAGATCTCTAAAATACTTTTTTATATTATTTCTTTGTAGTATAAAATATTCTATTATAAAAAAAAACATAAGAAATAACGTTATAATAAATTTTCTTCATATTCAACTTATTGCTCATCCTTATTTAGTTCTTTATATAGCATTTTATGTATTTTAAACATTAGTTGCCTCCTGCGGGATCTTGAAAATTTACGAAGCTGCGAGGAAATCATCATTCCGAAATGCTCTTCTTCATCCGCTACTGGAATTGACGGCAAAGAAATTGTCGGAGGCGGTTCGTGTAAGGCCTCACTTATTTGTTCCAAGATAACACTATCTTGATTTGAGTTTCTGTTTACCCTTTGCTTCTTACTGTTCTCTGAAAATGATAAGTTATACATAGTGATGTAGCATTTATTATATACAAATTAAAATAATATAAAATGGTATAAAATGCAACATACTAGGGGTATCATCTTGTGCAGATTCTTCTTCTTCATCTTCAACATTCATATTATTACAGACTGGTATGTTCGATACAGTTCTGAAATAACAGTAACAATTATTAATAATTTTACTGTCACAATTAATAGTAGTTAAAATACTTTCACAATGCTCTTTTAATATATTTTCTGAAAATAAAAAGTTTTTTTATTTACTCTCTTCTTAATAACGTGTCACGCAAAAAGTTTAGTGATTCATAGAATCGCCATTTATTCTTCTTTGACTGACTTGCCGCTCCACTTGGCAGCTTCTCCGCAGAAACAATCCTCATAAATCGATCACGGAGATTTTTCCATTTTCTTTTACACTCTTCACTAGAGTATACTCCTGAAATAAAATGTTTTTTTTATTTTTAATTATAATAATTATAAATGCTGTGTACACTTACAATAATCTTGTGTATTCAAGCGGGTGTATATCAATTGCACACGAGCCAGTTGCGCACAAGCCAATCACAACGCTAGAAAAAAAAAAAATTCCCTACGCAGAAGTTGCTGTGATAGGCAGTGGGCAATAGCTACAGTGTGCAAGTGAATCGCTCCTTATTCAAGCTATGTCCGTGTACTTCATGGGAAAACTGAGAGATTATACATATTATACATAATATGAATAGTGGGAGTTTTGAGAAAATGGCTTAGAAGAAGCCTGCGACATCAAGAGAATTATATAGAAATTTTCTTGTTATCAGATAAGTCACTCATCTAGGTAATCTTCCAAAGTCTCACTACTTGTACTATTTATGTAGCTTGTTTGAAAAATGAAAGTCTTGGTTGTGTTTACCTTTTGTTGCTTCGCTAACTTCTTGCCATAGCTTATCCATCGTTCTTCTGCCTCGCCGTGCGATCGCAATATTCTGATTCCATAATGGCTCCCTTAAGAACACCTCTGCAATCAGAATCTCATCTGCATTGCTTTCCGGTGTCACACCTTGTGGACCTTTCGACGGGAACTGTGAGTTCTCAACAACATTAATATTTTCTCCATTCACATTGCTTCGACGCACAATGTCTCCATTATCTGTACATGAGATATATATATATATATATATATATATA